CGAGGTTGACGGTGCTTGCGCTAGGTGTGACGCTCGGCGCGTCCAAGCTGCGCTGTGCGTGGGGACGTCCCACAATCAATACCAACAGCAGCAACAGCAACAACAATAACACTAGTCGTGCACCGGTGTACCCGTACCCGCCGTCAGCGATGCCTGTCTATGGCTACCCGCCGTACCAGGTAGCACGCCGCTTTGCAACGTGTTGACTGATGTATCGCGTTAGTATTATGCGGGGCCGTACCCCGCGTACCCGGGCTACGCCAGTCCAGTCTACGCAAGCTACCCGCTGCCAGGCTACATGCACCCGTACGGGCAGATTCCGCTGCCGACCGACGACAGCAACAACCAAGGGCCGCCACCGATGATGTAGTCTATAGCCGGCGCAGCGACGTCGCGATCGAAGCGACCTCGCAGTCCAAGTCGTTGTTCAATCTTATACATAGCTTTGTGTCGTGTACCTTGCTATGTGGTCATGACGAGGCGCTGCTTGGCACTGCTGCGCTTGCGCGGCGAAGCGTCGTCCGTGGCGGCCTCGCACGCCGCAATTGCCCGCTGGAGCTCCTTGAGCTGGTCCTTCTTGATCTCGAGCTGGCGCTCCAGCGTCCGCTTGTGCATCTGCAGCTCCGAGTGGTTGGACTTGAGGCGGTAGACCTCGCTGTACGCAGCCGGCTCCATCGCTTTTCAGATTGCACCAACCCGGATACGAAACCAATATCCGGATAGTTGCGATCTTTCGCACTCGGTCCGGCGCGCCAACGTAGCACCTACGCCTTGCTAGCATAGACAACACTTGTAGACAACACTTGTAGACAACACTTGTACAGCTCACGCCGAAATACCTTTGCCAGGATAGCGTTATTATTTATCTTCGCGTTCGGTTCGCAGCGTCTTGGAGAGAAGCGACATGCCCGAAAAGCCAACTTTGGGCTTGGCTGCCTTTGTTTTTTGCTGGGCCTTGACCTTGGCTTTGGCCTCGGCCGTCACACGCGGTCGCTCGACGGGCACGGCAGTGTTTTGGCTCCACTCGTGGTCATCGACGTTGTCATGTAGATACGCTTGCAGCATGTACTTGATGTTGGTACCAATGAGATTGCTCCATGCTTCGCCGACATCGGGCGTCGCCTCCGTGTCGAGCCAGTACATCATGACTTCGATCATCGTGCTCGTGTACGTGGAGAAGTGGTGCGGCCGGACAAGCGGAATCGTTCGATGGCGGTGGCCCAAGTTGCGGCAGCGCGTTATGACAGTCTCACGGCTGTGTTCCTTGTCGGCGAGCATAAACTTCATGGCCAAAATGAGAATCTCAATGCGTTTGCGAATGCCAGGAAAGACCAAGTTGAAGCTCGGGTCGCGCTGAAAGAGGCGGTGAAAGAACTCGTCGTAAAAGAGCACAATGCCATCCTTCTTGAGCTCACGCATCTTGGGGCTCGCGCCTTTGCAGAGAATCTTCCAGCTGCGATTGCACTCGGCGAGGTACATGGAGAGGTACTGCGGACACAGTGGCATGTTGGGCGGCATGTAGTGCTGGTACTCGTCGGCGCTTGCGATCGGTCGCTCAATTAGCGCGCTCCAGTCCTTGCCGCCATCGATGGTCTTGGGCGTTGCCGTGCCGAGCGTACCGTTGGCCGATCGGCTTTTGCTGCCCATCGACTTTACGCGTGCGCTAAAGCCCGACATGGCCGAGACGGACCCGACGGTGGGACCGGATGCATGCACCGAGCTCCGTGACCCCATGATATGACTGCCGGCGCCTCCTCAGCGAACGGGCGTTTCGTAAGAAACACTGTACAAAACCATCGATGCCTGCGATGATGTAGACAGTGCGCGCGTCAACTCTCGACGGTGGTGCAATCGTAAAAGAATGGGCGAGGATGCCATTGGGTTCATACTGCGTCGCTGAAACCATGCATCGCCATGACGGCAAGGCCGCCAAATTCTATCGAGATTTTTGGAGGCTCCTTTGAAAACGACACAGCGATGGAGTAGATGTAGCGTATTGGCGACGCCACGAGGTCAACGTGTTGCGTCCATCTCGACACAATACTGTCTTGGCAAACCGCGTCAACCAGTGTCGGTTGCACAACGCGCTGTGGTGCTTGGACGGGAGGTATCTCGACCCTCCGACTCTCAACGGCGAGCTGTCACTCGAGTCGTCGATCCACGCGCAAACATGGTAGCAGATATTACAATATGGCTTGGTCATTGGGTTTAGTAGTATATAAAATGGAAAACAACATGTCTCAGCGGCGCACTTTGGACTTGGTCTTGGTCGTCTGGACCGATTTTTTTCGCTCTTGGTTGGACTTTGCAACTGGCATCGCCGTGTTTTGGCTCCACTCGTCGTAGTTGACGTTGTTGTACAAATACGCTTGGAGGAGGTACTTGAGAT